TTTCTGTGTTTATCTGTAGTTGGCTGATACATTTTGATGTGGCAAAGGCACATCAGAATCATGCAACTAGTTTCAAACATGAAACTATACCTCAAACATCTGATCAAGACATAGATGTTAAAACACATTTGATAATTTGATAATCTAAAAATGAAGATGAAAAGAATGATCTAAATTTCTCATAGTTGGAAACACCATTGAGATTCCAGCTTAAAATCAATTCAGAACTTTCTAAGTATTTTATTTGCACTTCTGCAATACTGTCCTTGAACTCATGTAGTTACTGTTCCCTCATAGGCGTTCATTTGCTGTGCTTAGCCTTTATTTTGCTAAGGTGAAATAAGCCAGCTCTTCCTGTCTTCTAAGACACATTCTCTCTTCTGCAAATTGTCCCAGAAACTGTTTTTTGTATCTACACCTGGTTGAGAACTTTCCTGCAATGATTAGAAGCATTTTAGCTAAACCTTGGTAGGAGGTTTGTACAAATGGGGTCCCTATTTCAGTCCTTTTGCATGTACCCAAAATTGCTGCATTAGAAAAAGTAAGGCATATGTGGTGTAAACATGCCTGCCTCCAAAACACTGGGAACATGATCTTTTTGACATGTGGAAGTGACCATGCTGCTGTGCTTCACTTTTGGTTAATACAACCACTGAAAAGATTCATTTCTGACTTGTTTCTTTAAAAGTTAGCTGAAAAACTGGTAAATTACACTTTTTTCTTGCATTATTGGGAGAGTGAAAGAACATATGTGTTCTCCATTAAGCTGATAAAAGGATAATTTTGCAAAAAAAAATCCATGTTATCTCAAAACATATGAATTTTTGTAATTTACTGGAAAATAATACTGGAAATCGATATCACTACATCCAGATTATTCCATTTTTCTATTTAAATTACTAATCTACTTTTTGCATGTTCATAATTCTGTGGTAAAAACTCTCACTGAGGCCATTTTTCACATGCTCTCAAACTACAAGTGTACTTCCATATGTCAGCTATGTAACTAAAATATAGTTTAGAACACAGTTGTTGAAGGTGAGGTAACTTTCTCTATTGATTAAAATGAAAGTTGAATGGGATCCCAAGAGGTTTCAGAAACAGAACGATTACAAAAGCTTTGGAGCGATCAGCTCCATTCAGTGTTGCAGGATGTGGCTATTTAATCCAAACTGGAGAGTTGGGGCGATCTTTTAACATAATTGGAAAACCGAGGCTTAAATAACAGTCATTCTACATGCCCCATATATAATAAATCTAGCTGTCAAGTTCTTCTGCTTCATGAATCCAACTCTGTTGAAGTGAAAAGAGATGAACTATAGATTTGCTAATTGTGAAATTTCAGCAGTTTTTTTTATGCTCTGCTGGTTTTCAAGGAGGACTTTTATCAAATGCAAACTCAAGGCAGCATTATAAATGCTCTACTGATTTTAAATGAACTGTTCTACAAAGCTTGATTCAGATGCGATACTAACTCTCCGCTGAACCTAATGCAAGATTTCTTTCACATAAGGCATAATTTAGGATTTACTGGAAAAGTTCAAGTAAAACCAAGGGACAACCCGATTTACTAAAGTTTTATTAATACATGAGATGTTCACAGTTCCTAATGCTTCAGAATCAATTATGAAATCTCCATAGGGTCTCTTCTGCTTGAGAAATACCAGCAGCAGCGGTATATATATTCTACTGTGAACGCTGAGTTTCTTCACTGACGCTAAAGATGTAGTAGCACAATAAAAATGTGAATAATACATATTCAGGTTGAAAGATATATACTTTTTTAACTTCAAAATGCTTAAAAATTCTGCATTAGAAGAGTAGATTACAGTAAGACTGATGTTTTAGTCATATTGGGGCTCCACTAATTGCTCTCCTGATTTTTTTTAATTTTTTGTGCAAGTCTGAACTGTAAGATTAGCATCTACATATACAAATAGCTTTAATCCTCAGCAGTAATGGAGTGATACTATTTGGAAACAATGCAATGTCCATATCTTAACTCCAAGTCTGCCACAAGAAAATCCACAGCTTTAGGAAAATTTGAGACTTTTTCTTCATAAAGTTTTCTCTCTCTTTGGGAACCACTGTAATGAGAAAAAAAAAAAAAAAAAAAAAAAAGGAAGAAAAAACAAAAGGTAGGACCTGTGAGAAAAAGCTCATGTATCCAAGACTGTGCACAGAAAATTACAAACTTCTAAAAGATCTCAGGATTTAGGGGTTTTTCCCAGGGCCAAGTTTTCAAACACAGCAAGGTTTTGAGGACTGGATAGGACTTAGGACAAGACTGTGGCAATGCTGCTCTGTCTCTACAAGGAAATCCCTGCATGAATATTTTTTGCACCGTTGAAATTATTAAATGGACCCATATCACCCTTCTATTTCCTCTCAAGGAGCACAGATACTCAAACTTATGGGGACTCCCTGCTCTGAGTCAGAGGAAGACAGGACAATAATGTGTAAACTCAGATAATGTCTCTCTCCTTCCACATAGCAAAGTCTATTTTTTACGAGATCTGTTCCAATCTTTGTTGACATCTGTGCTTAAATAAAGTTTTTCCCTTTCATCTTTAATAATTTAAAATTCTCAGTTGACAAACTATTAGTAGCACTGCTTTGCATTTAAATTTCTCAAATAGTGATTAAATTACTTAATATTAATCTGTCTAGCTATAGCAGTCTGCTTCTATCATACACATAAAGCATTTCTCTGTAATATAATTAATTATAAATACTTTAGTCAACACCAGTTTTGCTTGCACATTAGGAACTTTCCAAGAAGTGATGCATTATCATTACATTTGGAAATAATATCAGCAAAAATATAAAAACGGGAAAAAAAATGTAATGTCTCAAACATTTCAGTAAAATAGGATTTCTGTTGCCTTCTTTTAATTTCCTTTGCTTCATATCCTGCTCCCATTCTTCCAACTCTTTCCTTACCTGTGTCATGCATTCCTCACTTTGTCAAGCTCACTGCTGGCTTTTTCTCTCCATACCCATGACTTAGTGTTGAAACCACTCAATCAAATACGTAGTCTCCTACTGATCAACTTAAAATAATCTATGGCAATCTCCTGAGTTTTTAATATTTCAAAAAGAATTTCAAATGCAAGAACCAAATAATTTTATTTATATCCTGGAGCAATCTGCTTGTTACTAAGTTACTAAGTTACTAAATACCAGCATACACAAAACTCATTCTTCAGAAAGCTCCCATGTTTCACCATATGCTTTTGAGTTTCACTCAATACTTACTATTGACATCTGTGATGTGTTTCAACTCAAAGCCCCGTTACCCTGTTTTCTCATGGGTGAAAGTACCGCCCTGGGCACACCTCACACCCACGTTATTATACTGCAAAGGTGCTGCTTTCTCTCACAAGGAGTGATATGCATCATGGCTTGCTTTTGACCATGACCATTTTTTCTCTAAACTGCAAAACAAACCTGTCCTTAAGGTTATATTTTTATTCTCAATACATTTAGCATCATTTTTCCTTCCTGTTCTTTCAGTTCTGCCTTAAGAAAATGATCACCGTCTTCTCCTCCAAGATATTTCCAATTTTACTTTTCTGTGCATCTTCTTTGCTTCTTTGTCACTTATTTCTACTTTAACCTTCAGTTAGACCTTTGCATTCTCCTCACTACTTGCGTTATGTCTGTGTCTTTGACCACTTTCTTTCTCTATTCTGCTCACTGCAGTGATTCTGCTGCAGCTATTACTCCAGCACAAAATGCATAGCATGCTGCTCAGTCAGTTTCTTCCTTGCCAATAACTAGTTAGACCTTTAGTACACCCATAGCCCAAAGAGGACCGAAACTCATCTTCCTCTAACCTCTTTCCACATTCAAAGAGCGTTGCTGATTCTGTTACAACATCCTTCATACTTTCTTTCCCCATATATTCTAGTCCACGCTTTATAAGACCCCCTACAATCACTCCACAACCATGTGCGCTTTTTAACCAGTTAACTCCTGTGACAGCCACTTGATCTTTCTCCTTTACGAAACAGGCAATATATTTCCAAACAGCGCTGTGGCAATTAATCTCCTTTTATTTTCTGCAGCACTGTAGCAATTGATCCCCTTTAATTTTCTGTCTCCCTAGCAAAAAAACAAAAAGGGGGGGTTCCTGTTCTCAAAAGTTTGCTATCAAAAAATTCATCTGTTTTCTTTCTAACATAGTAAAACATTTCAGAATCCATACAATACTTTTTCCCTGTTGCAAAAGACAGAAACAGTCAACTGGAAGTTTCAAGAGAGGGAAATGTATTCTGCAAAGGTGAAGAATATACACATATCCTAGCAAAAGAATTATCATGAGAGTCTGTTCTTTTTACTACATAGGGAGTATGTAAGTACTCCAGCTTGATTTATCTTTTTCTATATATGACCATTAAACCTCATTTCTACTGTATTCTTCCCTTTAAATTATCTTTGAATATTTTTTCCGATAAACTTAAGACAGCTGGAGTCAAAAAATCCAAATACTAAAAATCCAACGTGCACTGCAGCATTTGAGTCTGAGCCTGAGAACCAAGCTTAATTTGTGCAGCAGGCAATGTGGTGACATGCTTTTGCAGACAGGTAAGAAAGTTATGTGCCATCTCCACATCAGAGGAGGACTTAGCAACGTAAAAAGGAATCAGTCAGGTTTTCTGAAGGACTAAGAAACATCATTGCAGCTGCCAGTAGCCACAGTCACTTCTCAAATATCAAGCCCAGAGTAACTCAACAAAGACACCAGTGGGAATTCTCAGTTCTGAAAGTAAATACTGTGCTTCTGTGATCTTTGTTGTCACGCTGGTATACTCAGTGAGACTCTTTGTCTCATAAAAGCTGCATTTGCTCTAATGGGCTCTGTGGATGCCTCTGGGTGCGGGTGGAGGAACAGCTAACACCAGCCTGAAGGGAGGAAGAGTATGGAGCAAAAAGATCATTAGAGGAGAAACCTGGAGCTCTCCCGTTCTCAGGCTGGTCTTGGAGCAAGAGCCACGATGCTGAGGACACCAAGGTCCTGCCGATGCTGCTCCTGCGCAAAGCGTCCAGCACCCGCCAGCTGTGCAGCCAGGAGGACGCGGCTGCTCTGCAGGGACCAGGGACACGTGGCAGAGGAGCGAGGGGCCCGTGAGGGCCTTCCTGCTGCCCAGGAGGATGGATACGGGAACATGATCCTCCAAGGGCTCCGCTGGGGCTGGCTGCCCTCGGCTGCTCGCTCTACCTCACTGTGAGTGCGAGGGAGGCACTGAACCTGCAGCGGAAATGGCTACCCTGGGATTAACGACAACCGCTTGAGCCTATTAATAGCAGCTTATTTAACAAAAGTTGTTTAACAAATCAATAAGCGATGGTTGCGATCTGTTCCTCCGCGATTCAACACCTTCTGAGAGGTTCCGGTAACATGTGCCCCTCTCCTCCCATCCCCCCCCAAAAAGGTGCAATACATAGGTGCCTTCTGCAACAATTTTAACGCAGCTGCCAAGGCTTCATTGTTCAGGAAATACACATGCGCCCAATTCCTCCCAAAAGCACGGGTCTCTATGATCCCATTTCCTGCGTTCCAGTGAACCTCGTGGTACCGGATACACTTCCATAGCCAAAGCTGCATCTGCTGCAGCTAAAAAAAAAAAGTTTATTTTTATTTTTTTCTCCATTTTGCCTCTTTTTGACACGACCCACACTTGCACCTATACCGGGGTGGGCAGGACCTGCGCGTTTCCGTCACGCGAAGGCCGCCC